CAAACAACAACAACAACAACAAGGCACTTGACTGCTAACCAGAAGGCTGGCGGTTCAAACCCACCAGCCACTCCTCGGAAGGAAGGATGGGCATTCCTACTTCCGTAGTGATACTGCCTCGGAAACCCAAGGAGGGGTCGCTATGAGTCGGGCCGACTCGATGGCAAACAACAACAGTGAAGCTCAGTAAGCAAAGCACAGTAAAGTGAGGTATGCCTGTATTTGAACCATTAGAACATATTAGATATTTACATATTTTTAAAAAATAAAGTATATTCCATTTTGGTAATTTCATCAAGCTAATATAATTTCAGTCAAGATTTTTTTTATCCTTTTCTCTTTTAGTTTCTCTATTTTTTTTTTTTTTAGTCAAAAGAACTAGTTTTAGAAAGCATGGAATGTTATGTCTCTGAAAATATGAAGTATTAGCTCTGCTACTCAAACACCATATGCATTATGGGCAGGTGTTTTATCTGATGAAATTTCTAATTAGATGGGAAGACAACTGGTTTAATGAGAACTTAAGAAAGGAAATGAATATATCAAAATAAAGCTCTGCTTTAAGTTTTCTGAAATAAATTTGTCTTATAAAACAAAAACTTTCCCTGGTATTTCACTTTCTCTGTGTTTTGTTGATCTAACTTTTTTCCTCTTATGATTCACCAAACCAGAGAAACAATGTATGTTCCATGAATGTGCATATTTTTAAAAGAACAGAATGTTTTCCTTCTGTGTCACTCAAAAGTAATGTGTAGTCCCGTGTGTATGTGTGTGTAACGTACTAGAACTCTTGTTGATGAGGACCTTGTTACCTTGTATGAAGAAGGATGTAGGTAATAGGCAAGACAGACGCAAGGGAAAGAATTCATGATCTTTAAGGATATGCCAATGGATGCCTTGTTCATTAAAAAAGAAAAACAAAACAACAACAACAACAAAAAAAAAAAACCTGATGTTCACATGGCTAAGATTAAACCCAGTCTCTAGTTATTGAAAAAAAAAAAAAGCTTAATGGATAGTGTCATCTTTATATAAGAGAGATTTCATTTTACTGTTGTTAACACTTATACTGCTTTTTTGGAGAATGAAGTTTTTTACATGACTTAATTTCCCACCATGCTGTAGTGGAAAAAACTTCAGTTTGGAGCCAGGCTGAACTTAATTCAAATCCCATCTCACCACTGTGGTCATGAAAGAAGCCACATAGCTTCTCCCTGACTTGTTTTCTTTTATATAAAATTAGGCTAATACCTGCCTTGCAGGGCTGCTGTGAGGATAAAATCCTCTTAACATGGTACTTGGCTGTATTAATGTTTAATGATGACTCCTCCATTTGGATTAGGTGGCCTCCTTTGGGGCTCTCCCTGTACATACTTCTGTCCGATCACTTAACACCCTCCTGATGTCTGTTCATTTGACTGTTCTGGATTGACTCTGCTTCTGATCTCATCTCCAACACTTAGGACACCGCCAGGCATGTCCAATAATAATTTTAAATTATTTGCATACTTTAAAATAGAAATATTTTTAATGCCCTGTTATGTTTGACTTTATATGGAATCTACTGTAGAGATTTAATAATTGATACATCCATCTGATTTCAGTATTTTCTTTTACTTGGGGATGCAGTGCCTAGTTAGAACAAGTCACCACTAGATGGGGATCTTACTTTGGTACCACTGAAAAGAATAGTTCCTCAGACCTCACTCAATACCTACTGAGACTTTTAAGTCAGACATTACTCTTCCGTAGTGATACTGTCTCAGAAACCCAAGGAGGGGTTACTGTGAGTTGGGTCCGACTCCACGGCACATAACAACAACAACAACATCACTATGGAAGTAGATTGCCCAACCTTCCTTCCGAGGAGTGGCTGGTGGGTTTGAACCGCCAGCCTTCTGGTTAGCAGTCAAGTGCCTTAGGCACTATGCTACCAGAGCTCCTTTAACTCCGTTAGACTTCCAAAAAGATAGTATGCTTATTTTTTTCCAGGGTTCATTCAATTTATTTATAGAAGAATCTATAATTTCTTCTTATACAGAAGTTAGAGAAGAGGTGAGGGTTTTAATGCCCTGCCTCATTTTGGCTTTCCCTAGAAGTTTGGGTTTCTGAGTTTTGAATCTTCTGGGATTCTGGAAGATTGGTTCTTCCTCTGCCTCTCCCCATCTTTTCCTAGACCAGCACTTTTCTATGAGTCAGTTACTCATGTGCTGAGATACTGATTCCCCTAACTTTCTCGAGGTGTGGCATGTCACCTCTGTTTCTACACGTATTTTTGTTTGTATACTATAAAGCTAACATTTTCTATGTGGGTGCTCACACTTAAAAATGGCTAAGAAACACTCCCCTAGGTTGCAGCATCTTCAGTTCTTTTTAATCAGTTATCACCCAATCATTTATTGGGTAAAAATTTTATCTTTTGAAAACCTTTTGAAAAAAATTTACTGAAAATTTTCATCTGCTAGTGGTTCTTCTCCCATTTACATTTTGCTATTTATAAGTTTATATTTTTTGTAACACTTTACTCTCATATTAGTAGGCTTTTGGGAGAGAAAGGAAATAAATGCCAAGGTCATGTTGCCATTTTTCACTGGAAATCAGTTTTAAAAATAAATAAATAAATAAAGCTTTATTAAGATGTAATGAATGTTCAATAAGGAGCTCTGGTAGCATAGTGCCTAAGGCATTTGACTGCTAACTGGAAGGCTGGGGTTGAAGTTCAAACCCACCAACCACTCCTCAGAAGGAAGGTTGGGCAATCTACTTCCGTAGTAATACCGCCTCGGAAACCCAAGGAGGGGTCGCCATGAGTCAGGTTTGACTCGACGGCAGTGAGTTTGGTTTTCTGGAATGTTCAGTAATGAGCACATATTTAACATGTACAAGTTGATAAGTTTTGATATATGTATATACCTGTAAAATCATGTCTACAATCGAGGTAATGAACATATCCATCACCTCCAAAAGTTTCCTTGTGCCCCTTCTCCTTCAGTCTCAAGGTAGTCACTGGTCTATGTTGCCATAATTCATTTTGGGATTATCAATAATGACTGAAGTCTTTGAATGGGAGACATATATGGTGATATAGAAGAAGAGAAGAGAGGAAGTAACATCTATTCAATAACCATTACTTGCAACTCTCCATAGACATTTTGCTTAAGAAATCATATTTAATCTTTATAATAACCTTCTAAAGTAGTTGATATTATCCTATTGTGCCTATGAAGAAACTGAGGCTTGCAGAAGCCCAGAATCTCACATTGGAGCCCAGGTGTGTCTCATCTTCAGGGCATGCTCTAGACTCCAAAGACTGGGTTCTAGCTGGTAAAACCACCACTGACTATTTTCCATTTATGAGGGAAAAGCACATACTGTCTCTTAGAAGCTGTTTATTTCTTGAATAAGAGGGTTGTACTGAATGATCTGAAGGAGCTCTGATGGCATAGTGGATTGGCACTTGGCTGATAACTAGAAGGTCAGCAATTCAAACCTACCAGCTGCTCCATGGAAGGAAGATGGGCCAATCTACTTCCATAAAGCTTTCCAGCCTCAGAAACCAAGTGGGGGTCACTATGAGTCAAAATCAACTTGATGACAGTGAGTTTCGCTTTGGTTTGGACTAAATGATGTGAGGGAGCTCTGGTAGCATAGTAGCTAAGACACATGACTGCTAACCAAAAAGCTGGTGGTTCAAACCCACCAGCCACTCCTCGGAAGGAAGACGGGGCAATCTACTTCCGTAGTGATACTGCTTCGGAAACCCAAGGAGGGGTCGCTATGAGTCGGGGCCAACTTGACGGCACATAACAACAACAACAACAAATGATGTGAGGAGCCCTGATGGTGCAGTGGTTAAGTGCTCGGCTGCTAACTGAAAGGTCAGCAGTTCATAACCATCCACTCCACAGGAAGAAGATGAAGCAGTCTGCTTCTGTAAAGATTTACAGCTTTGGAAACCCTATGGTGCATTTCTCTATCCTGTAGGGTTGCTATGAGTTGGAACACAATAGGTTGGGTTTAGTTTTTGGACTACATGATCCTAACGGCTTTTCCAACTTTAAGTTTCTGTGTTTAATTCATAGTTTTATGCAGAGATGGTAAACCTCTGCTTAAATATGGTTTGTTTTAATTAAGTAAAACTCCAGTGTTGTCTATAATTTTCAACAGTAGGGCTTTATGAAACATTAAAGTCATTGTTTTTTTGTCTTTTTGTAGGAAAGTGTTTAAGATGCTCATGGAATAATATGAGTCAGAGTAATATAGAATCTACAGGAACTCTCTGAAGATAGCTGGTGAGACAATAAGAATTTCTGTTTTCTTCAATAGTATATTGTGTAATTATTTTGCAGACATTCTCACTATAAAGTTCCTAGCTTTGTGCTCACAGGGGACATTTCCCTGCTTTTTCATTGTGTGGTTTTTAAGTTTACTAGTAGTGGAAGCCATAGTAGTTAGCTTAAACTTAGCTGTATTCTTCAGTTTGGTCAGAGAATGCAAACTTTAAATATATATATATATATATACATATATATATTCACACGTGTGTGTGTATGTGTGTGTGTACATGTAGCTAGATATACGTGTGTCTGGAGGTGTGGGTGTGTCTGGAAAGAAAGAGAACGTGAGAAAGTGAGATAGAACTGTCTTCACACTTCTCAGATGTTACCAGCAATGACTAAAATGTCATAGCCCAAAATGTATAAAATATATCTAACATCTATACAGAGGCACACATTACTTATGCGCCAAGTATATATAATGCTTTCATGCAAAGTTGGAATCCAGTTTGATTGTTCTAAGACCTAACACTTTATTTTCCACTTTTCCAATCTTAGGAAAAGAATATTTTCCAGATTCTTCATCAAGATCTTCTTTTACACAGCTATTAAATCCAAGACTACTGTGGTGAGAAGCATGAATAAAACTACATCTGCTGTGCCAACATCCAGTCTGCTTGAAAAGTAATTTTTAAATTAAATTTCAGTGTGTTTTGAATGTTCATAATTTGAAATACATAGAATATTTGTAAAAGTTTAGTTTAAAATTTTTTACAACCTAGCTGTTTACTGTGGTCTAGTCTAGTAGTAATGTGAAAGTTGATCAATGATTACTTTTAAATGTAAATCAATGTATGGGATAGATTCTGCATTTCCTTTCAGCACTATTTGTAGGGATTGCTTTTATTTGATTTTTAATAGGTAAAATACTTTATGATTTCTGTATAAAATTATATATTATAAGAGCTAGCTTTTGTTGAATAACAAACCACCCAGAAGTACCTTAAAACAAGCATTTATTCTTTCTTATGATTTTGTAGATTAGCTAAGCAGTCCTTCTGGTCTGGGCCAGAAAATGTAGGATGGCTTCATTCACATGTTCTGGAATTTCAACTAGGAAAACCAGGATGGCTGAAGTCTCTTTCCACTTGATCTCTTGTTTTCCAGAAGGCTACCCCAGGCTTTTTCATACTATGGTGGAATAGTTCCCAGCAACAAGCACAAGTGTTTTTCAGATGTCTATTTCCCCTCACATTTGCTGGTGTCTCATTGGCGGAAGCAATCCACAGAGCATAGCCCAAATTCAAGAGATGGAGATATAGACTACCTTTTGATAGAAGGAGCAATAAAGTCATATTCCAAAAAAGACATGTAGATAGGGGTGGGAAGGATTGGTGGCCATTTTGTAAACATATAGCACAGATAACAAGGTTTATTCAGAGAAGTCTTGTTCACATTCTTGTCCTTTACTCTGTGCCCTATTTTTCTTATAGGCAACCATTTTTATTAGTTCCTTGGTCTTTTTCAGTGCTTTTTTTTTTTTTTTTTTTGAATAAACAAATGCATAACATATATACATGTTTGGATTACACTCCCCTAGCAAATTCTTAACCAAAAGGTAACATACTACTTATGCTCTTTGACCTTGCTTTTATTTTTTTAACAAAAATTATATCCTAGTGATCACTTCACATCAGTTTATCCAGCTCTTCTTTGTTCCTTTTTGTAGTTGCATGGGTAGTATTCTATCCTGTAGATGTACCATGGTTTATGCATTCAGTACGTCACTGATGGACCTTTTGATTGTTTGAGTCCAGGTTATGCTGTAATGAATAACCTAGTATACAAGTCATTTTGTAGTTTTTGCCAGAATATCTTTGGGATACCAAAAAGCAAACCCACTGTCATCGAGTCAATTCCAACTCATAGCGACCCCCATTTGGTTTCTGAAGCAGTAAATCTTTACAGAAGTAGACTGTTCCATCTTCCTTCCATGGAGTGGCTGGTAGGTTTGAACCACCAGCCTTCTGATTAGCAGTCAAATGCCTTAGGCACTGCACCACCAGACCCCAGCAATAGGATTCCTGGATCAAAAGATAAATTTTTACTAGAGATTACCAAATTCCCTCTTTAGGAATTGTACTGGTTTGCATTTCCAGTAACATAGTATGGAGTGTCTCTTTCCCCACAGCCTTGTCATCAGCTATTTTGTCAAAATTTAAAGTGTTATTGATCTGATAGGTGAATATTGGTATCTCCCTGGAGTTTTAATGTGTAATTCTCTTACTATAATTAAAATTTAGGAGCAGAACTATTTTTAATAGCAAATAATTATTAAAAAGTAAATAACCTAATGTCTTAACAATAGGGAAATTTACAAATAAGGTCCTAGCTGTATGTATAAATTTTATGCTGCCATTGAAATTTATGTTTAAGAAGAGCTTTTAACAACATAAAGATTGCTTACAATGGTGCTGGGTAAAAAGACAGTATCTGAAACTGTTATTATACAGCAAAATTTTAAAATTTAGGTAGGTTTATAGAAAAAAAAAAACATGTATACTTTTGCCCAACAGAGTATCCCAATGTACACTCTGTTGTGATTGAAAAAAAAGAGGGATGCTTTACTGAAATGATGGTATATGCTAGGGAATGTATGTCTCCTCATTGAGGGAAATTCAGATTCAGAAGGTTTTAAAGGTTACTGGAGAGACCTCAGTACCATCTCTCCCCTTCATCTCTTCCATTTCTAGGCCACACTCCTTTATGGCAGTTGCAACTTAAAACCCTATAGAGTAGGTTAGGATGCTGAAACATGTATCAGTAGAACAGTTTTGACCCAGTTGTCTCTGCCTTTTTTTTAGCTCACTGACTATTGCACAGGTCTTCCAACACTAGAGCTGAATCCAGTGAAATGAAACCCTGAATGATGTGCTATGTATAGAGCAAAATATTCAAAACCAAATAGATGTATTGGTCTTTTTAAATTTTTTAATTGTGTTGAGAGGTCTGATAGCATAATGCCTAAGGCATTTGACTGCTAACCAGAAGGCTGGCCGTTCAAACCCACCAGCCACTCCTTGGAAAGAAGGTGGGTAGTGAAACCACCTCGGAACCCAAGGAGGGGTCGCTATGAGTCGAAATTGACTTGACGGCACTGAGTTTGGTTTTGCTTTTTTATTTTTATGATTTTTGAACTCAATGGTTTTCTTAAAGATATTGAGAGAATTCCTATGACAAAAGCTAATAAAACTTTTTCTGGAAAGCAATAGTGATATGCAACCTCCTCTTTTAATAGTAGTTTCAGTTATTTGATACTAATTTGAAGATAGCTAGAAGTCCTATATTTAAGAATGATTTTTATTATACCATTAAGATCTTATATCACATTTTGGCTTTGGAATAAGACAGACTAGACTGACATCACTACTCTCCAGTTTTGTAACTTTGGGCCATAAAGGAACTCTGATGGCTTAGTGCCTAAGGCATTTGACTGCTAACCAGGAGGTTGGCGGTTCAAATCCACCAGCCACTCCACAGAAGGAAGACTGGGCAATCTACTTCCATAAAGATTTGCTGCCTCAGAAACCAAAAAGAGGTCATCATGAATCAGAATTGACTCCATGGCAGTGTGTTAGAAAAATAACTAAGAAGCTCTGGTGGCTCAGTGTTAAAGCATTTGGCTGCTAATCAAAAGGTTGGTGATTCAAATCTACCAACTGCTTTGTGTTTGGCTCTTTTATTGTGGCAGATTAGATTTACTAACCACCAAACCAAATCCAGTGCTATCAAATTGATTATGACTCATAGTGACCCTAAGGACAGAGTAGAACTGTCCCATAGCGTTCCAAGGGCTGGCGGTTCAAGCCCACCAGCCATCCCTCAGAAGGAAGTTTGGGTAATCTACTTCCATAGTGATACCACCTCGGAAACCCAAAGAGGTGTCGCTATGAGTCAGGTCCAACTCGACGGCAAACAACAACAAATAACATTTCATTAAAATATTTGTTGTTGTTGTTATGTGCCATCGAGTCAACCCTGACTCATAGCGACCCCTCCTTGGGTTTCCAAGGCAGTATCACTACGGAAGTAGGATTGCCCAACCTTCCTTCCGAGGAGTGGCTGGTGGGTTTGAACCGCCAGCCTTCTGGTTAGCAGTCAAGTGCCTTAGCCACTATGCTACCATTTAGTTTGGAATCATTCAATGTAGTCTAAAAATCAGTTAAAACAAATTTCTTTAGTCATCTTTAATGCATCTTCAAATTTATTTACACATTTTTAAATATTTTCCTTTGTTCTACTCTAAAGTAATATGTATTATTGCTATCATTTCTTACAAGTTTTGTAAAGAAAATTAAAAATACAGATGAGAAAATCCATTTGATTGCTTTTAAATCTCTGCACGTTTTCAAATCTGAGATTGTCAAGATCTAAGAATTTGATTTAAAGAGCAGTTTAAAGGAATATTGGTACAGATGTCTAGGCTAACATGTGAGTGCTAATGTATTTTATTTTAGGGATCAGGCTTTTCAGATGATCACACTTCAGAAGGAAACAGGCCTTGGCTTGAAGGTCCTAGGAGGAATTAACCGGAATGAAGGTCCCCTGGTATACATTCAAGAAATCGTTCCTGGAGGAGACTGCTATAAGGTAAAAATTAAAATCAAACAAACAGAATACAACACCTAGTGGCCAGGTGTCCCTACTTAATCCATCCATTAACAATGTTAACTGAATGTCTGCTGTGAACATACCCTAAGAAAGATTCGAAGGCACTGGAAAATAGACCTTCAACCATAAGGAACTTTAGCCTATGAATAGGCTCCTCACATCTGAAAAGAAAATATTGTAGGCTCTAGCTAAAGGGTAAATATTATTGAATTACATGTTGTTCAACTCTTATCGTAAGTCTGGTTGAGAGAAAGTATATATAAAGACATATTATCTGTCCACTAGTATGAGTTTGTATTAAGTTGGAGCACTTGAATACATTCATTTAGCACTTTCTCGTTATCAAAAAACCCAACCCTGAAATAATGTCCATTCATTTCTGAATCTGCAGTCAAATTGTTATTGAGGAGTTTGCTAATTATATCATTCATTAACATTGACACAATAAATTAGATTTAGAATTAAGACCAGAAAATGTTGTCTCTTTTTAGGGTTTAGTAAGTCTTACTCTCTTCTTCAATGTAAGAAATATGTAATATAGATTGTATTATGTAGTATATATAAAAATATTATATAATATTTTTCTTTGGTTGCTGAGAAGCTCAGACCCAAATTTGAAGCATAACCCCAGCAACTTAGTTAATGTACTGGTTTCCTTATCTGCACGCTCATTCCTCTTGGCTCTCATTTACCATTTCTGTTGAACTAATTTGTACATTAGGAGCTCTGGTGGCCCAGTGGTTAAAGCATTTGGCTGCTAACTGAAAGGTCGGTGGTTCAAACTCACCAACCGCTCCTTGGGAGGAAGATGAGGCGTTCTGCTTCCGTAAAGATTTATAGCCTTGGAAACCCAGTGGAGTAGTTCTAGTCTGTCTTATAGGGTCTTTATTAGTTGGAATTGACTTGATGGCAATGGATTTGTTCAGATTAACTTTTGAGCTGATCCCATAAATTTCAAGTCCCACCCCTCCGCCCCTCTCCCCTCCCCACCTCAAATATTTGTTTAGCAAGGAGTTTGAAATGGATTTTTTTTCCTTATTAGGAAATAAATTTATTTCACCAATAACTTCCAAAATAGTAGCAATGATTTCAGTTGTTTCAGGCCTATTCAGGTAAGCTACCTTACAAAATAAGTACTATATACCGAAAACAATTATCTAATAAATTTAGGATATTATCATGATAATACATTTTTTACTATTAAGTTTAAATTATTAACCAAATAAAAGCATATTTAAATACAAAATCTCTTGTGCCAGAATAAAGTATGAATACTAGAAATAACCTATTGGGTTTAATACATTTCAAATAAAACTGAAGTTTTTCTTCTAAGTATTGAGAGGTTTAGTTCTCCCTTAATTTTGCTGCTGAGTTTGGTCTGTCTGTGTGTGTTCACCAATTCTAAGAAAATAGGTAGCTTATTTCTTGTAATACATTTGATATAACTAATGACTTATTAAATGAAAGTACTTAAATGATAAGAATTTGATTTTATGACAAGCATCAATTTGTGTTTTTCTATTACACTGAAAAATGTTTGTCGTTAGAGTAATAAATTGATAGCAGTGGCACTGAGTGACTATCTGTTGTCATTGTTGTGAGACTAAGAAATTGTATGCATAGTATATATTTTCCCTCATCACTTTTCTTATAATTTCACTGTTTCCAAACAATATTAAAAAAACAAACCCTCCCTCTAAGGGACTATCGAGAGCTCTGGTACCGTAGTGTCTAAGACATTTGACCAGAAGGCTGGCGGTTCAAAGCCACCAGCCACTCCTCAGAAGGAAGACTGGGCATTCTACTTCCATAGAGATACTGCCTTAGAAACCCAAGGAGGGGTCACTATGGGTCCGAACCTACTCAAAGGCAGTGAGTTTGGTTTTGGTTTGAAGGGGCTATATTCTATATTTGCCACTAGAGAGCAGCACAGAGTTGTTAATGTTATTTTACTACACCTGGTCCAAGAAGTGGACAAAATAGGGAAAGGTGTTAGAAGAGAATAATTGTCCAGTACTTACATCTTATCTTCTGTATTTCCACAAAATTGACAGTTACATGCATAATATTTACTCTGCAAATACAAAATTAGTGCAATTTTATTTAAAAAATATTTTTTAGTTAATGATAGTTAATAGTATATATGCCGTACGGAAGTTCATAAATTTCTAATGAGCACATTTCTGCATAGTGGGTGTATTCACAGAACAGGACACATGGACTCATCAGGTTATCCTTATTAAGTTGCTTAACTGAAAAATTATATTATTTTTATATGCAAATGAATGCTTTAACTTGCTGTAATTTATTTTAATATTACAACGTTTCAGAATTAACAGTGCAGGCACTCTCAAGCTTATAGCTGGATTATATTCACATTTATATTACCAAACATTGCATGTAAGGGGATTATGGAAACTCAGAAGGAGCTTTCTTCAATTAATTGTGGTTAACTTTCTTCCCTCCTCCCTACTCCCCCACACACATGCTTAACACATGGCAAATATGAAATACAGTACTTTTTCAGTATAACCAAAATGTCCTGTATCCTTGAAAAATATATTCCGAGTTCAGACTTCAGGCATGAACACAGTTTTCAAGTTCAAGTAGGGAAGAAAATTCTCCAAGCTCTAAGAGCTAGAGACAGTATATGTTGTTGTTTGTTAGTTGCTGTCAAGGTGATTCCAACTCATGGTGACATCATGTGCGCAGAGCAGAGCTGCTCCATATAGTTTTCAAGGCTGTGGACCTTTCAGAAACAGATCACCAGCCCTGTCTTTCAAAGTGCCTACGGATGGGTTTGAACTGTCAACCTTTCAGCTAATAGTCCAGCGCTTAACCATTTGCACCAGCCAAGGACTTGTAGGTTGAGAACAAATGTGCTAGCACTGAGTTAAGAAAAAAATAAGAACTCCAAGACCCCTCTCACCCCACCAGCTAGTCCTGTATTAGTCTGAAATGCTTAAGGTTTGATCTTAGACCCCTTTTTAGCCTAGACACTCCTTTAAACTTCATTCCCATATATCCCATTGCCTGATCAATATTTCTACTTGAATTTCTGATAAGCATCTCAAACTCAACATGTCTGAAACAGAACTCATGATATTTACACTACACCTTCTTCCATCCATCTCTTTCCAAGCAGGCCTTCCTGCCGTATTCCCAGTCTTGATGAATGACACTTCCAGTTGCACAGTTAGAAAACCTAAGTGTATTCTTTTTCCTTTCCCAGAAAACCATATCCAACTCTTTAGCACAGCCTATTGGCTTTTTTACTCTCTAAATATTTCTTGAATCCATCAGTCTCCTTGATCCTCTATTGCTATTACCATGGCTTAAACTACCATCCATTTTATCAGACCACACAATAACTTTGTGTGCTCTTAGATGCCACGCCCATTTCCCTCCTAACAATCTTACTGATATTTAGTTGCCTACCATCCTTAGGGGAGCTCTGGTAGCATAGTGGCTAAGGCACTTGACTGCTAACTAGAAGGCTGACGGTTCAAACCCACCAGCCACTCCTCAGAAGGAAGATGGGGCAATCTACTTCCATAGTGATACTGCCTCAGAAACCCAAGGAGGGGTCGCTGTGACTCGGGTCCGACTCGACAGCACATAACAACAACCGTCCTTGGTGAACAACGACTGAATAGTGTGGCTTCTGCCCTCTACTTCTCTGGTCTCCATCTCTGCTTCAACCATAGTGGCATTCTTTCAGTTCCTGGAAGGGGCCAGGTTCTGTCTCATCTCACAAACTGTTCTGTCTAACTAGGAACAGTCCCCCCCTGCGGTGTGCTAAATTACTTAGTGTGGCTTTTCTACCCATAAGTCTTTGTAAACTCCAAGGTGGGATTTGCTATGAACAACTGAGGAGCTCCTGATTGCTGAAGTTGTCCACCTGGAGTATTTCTGTTGAGAGTGGCACAAAACAATGTTCTGGGAGGTTCCCACTCTCTCTCAGGTGCTTAGAGTTCTGATGCTATGATTGGCTAGTCTGACCATTTTGCCAGTCTCAGAAGGAGGTCTCCTAGAGGCAGAACTCTCTCTCTGACTACTGGTTGAGGAAGACGTGCTGCTGAAAGAGACATGCGCTCCTGAAAGAGACACATGCTGCTGGGAAAGAGATGCAAGAGACAGGCATTGCTGAGTAAGACACCGAGGGACATGCACTGCTGGGGGAGAGACTGTGAGAGACTTGGCTGAGAGACGGTAGGCTGGGAGAGAGACTGAGCATATTTCCTGAACTTGAATTGTAGCCTGGTGCTTCCCTAATAAACCCCGTAATCTGTGAGTTCTGTGTGGCCATTGCAGCAAATTATCAAACCCAGGAGAGGTTGTGGGTGCTTTGGGAGGAACAGCTGGAGAAAGGGTTGGAGGGAGGCAGCATGTCTGGCCTTGCAGTAATAGGCCTTGGGCTATTGATGGTGATTCTGCCTTCCTCTTGTGGGACTAGAGGAGGTCGGAACATGTGGCCTCCTTGCCCTTTTTGCAGTTGTTGTCAGAAGCAGTGGGATTTGTTGCAGTGGCTCCAGACTCATAGAAACATGAGACTTTGTAAAAGAAAGAAGGAAGAGGCCTGGGAAGTGAAACTTTGGATTCTTAGATGGTTACTTTGTTTGGTGTTACCTCTTAAAATAGGTAATTGATCCAGAGGCTATGGCTTTTGGTTACACCCAGCCAAAGGCCCAAGGCCATATGCATAGAATGGGACGGTAATCAAGGTGAATAGATGAACCTGGAATGTCTTTAAAAGGATTATGTGTTTTGGATTATGTGTTTATCTTAATGTACTATGGCTATTGAATGTTCTCTTACCTGCTTGTACATTAGAAACGATTATGGGGTATGTGGATAACAGAGAGTGTGTAAGTCCGCCTTCAGCCAATACTTGATTGGATAAGTTAAAAGGGGAAATAGAATTTTCCCAGAAGAAACACAGGCTTTTTGTTTCAAACCCTGTGTGTAGAGTATGAGAG